AGGTAAAGTGGTTGTCGATAATCTGGGTTATCCTTTTCTTTGGCTGGTAAAGGGATATCTTTCGACCTCTTTGTATACGATGACATCACGATTTATATATAAAAATAATTCTTAAATAACTAATTGATAATTAAAAAATAGCAGAAATAGTAAACTATTTGTAATTCAAGCGGTAATTGATACAAATATTATGATGATCCGGTGTTATAAAATTCGACTGTGCCGTGCAGGTGATTTACAAATTCGGTTAGCTCACGCCATTTACATATCTGAAATCTGAATTTGATGTTTTCCGCAACTTTGTGTAATCAAATAAAACTGTGCAATGGACAGTTCAAGGAATTGCTATATATTATTTATAAATAAATAAAACTAGTTTATTTAGTACCGTCCAATCCGTATGTCGATAACCTAGCCTCTTTCATCGTATTTTTTATTATTATTTCCCATATATATTTATTTAAATTGGAACAAAAAACAACAGATTCACCAAAGTATAAAAAAGAGGCAGTAAGCAGAATAATTTCGTAAAATAATTGACGAGCCTTGTACATAATAATAAAAACTTGCAATTAATCGACGAGTGTAGCTAAAAGCTAACTCGAACTCTGCCATAAAACGTAAAATAATCGAGATTGGCCAAAAAGTTTGTAATTCAATCAAAACGCTCGAGGTAACCTTTAAACAATCTTTAACCAGTCATCCAACCAATCTGTCTGTAGATTCAGTTTAAAAAGATCTGCCAAGTCTCTGACACAAGTTTTAAAGATGATGTAGGCTCCCGGATAATTTTAATTGGACTGGTAGGAAAATCATAGTAATTTTTGAAGCTTTTTATAGAAAAGATTGTGTTGTTGCACGAAAATTTTCTGAAAATTGGTTTATTGGTTTTCAAATTTTTTCTTTACCCATTTAAGGACCTATCACCTCAATTAAAATTACCCTGTGGTCTGATGATGTTTATTTGTAATAAAAATAAAAATCATAATAAAGTTTTAAAGATATTAAAAAGAAATTTATTTAAAATTGCAATTGATGGACCTGCAGCTTCAGGAAAAAGTAAAAAAATTTTTCAAATATATTTTAACATGCATATAATTAATTAACATTACTATTATTACTATTACCGTTGTTGTTTTTGTTATTTTTTTGTAAAAAGGTACCACATCAAAATTTTTAGCTCAAAAATTAAATTTTCAATATATTGATTCAGGTAATTTGCATAATAATAATAAAAATCAAATTTAATATTTGATATATCTCATATATTGTATATTTATTTATTAGGAGCTGTTTATAGAGCTGTTACATTAGCAGTATTGAGAAAGAATGTTTCATTAGATGATTCAGATAGAATAGTAAATATAGCATTGAGGTCAGATATTAAACTTAGAACAATAATGAATTATTATAAACAACCTCAAGAAACAAACTTTCCAATAACACATTCGAAAATATTAGATAAAATTAGAAACAACAACAATGATGATGAAATGGAAAATAAAAATAATGAAGAAAATGACAACGATAATCATATTAAAGGTGATTTACAAATACCACCACCTGAGATATTTGTGTATTTGGATGGAGAAGATGTCACAAAGGAAATCAGGTTACCGAACGTTTCTAGGAATGTTTCAAGTATAGCATCAAATAGTAAAGTAAGAGAAATGCTAGTAGAAAAATTTAGGTCCTTAGCATCATCATCAGAAATTAAAGGTGTGGTAATGGATGGTAGAGATGTTGGTACAGTTATCTTACCTGATGCCGAATTAAAAATTTTTTTTATAGCAGATATACAAATCAGAGCTAAAAGAAGATACGAAGAAATATTATTACAAATGAATAATACTATTCATAACACTTCAATAAATTTTGAACAAGTTTTGAATGATTTGGAAAGAAGAGACAAAGAAGATTTTGAACGGGCAGTATCACCACTTAGGAAAGTTAAAGATTCTATTGTGATTAATACTGATAATCTTAGTGTTCAAGAAAGAGTCGAAATGATTGCTGCTTTAGCAAAAGTTAGAATGAAAAATTAAATTATTTACTATTTATATTATTGTAAAAATTAAATTCCAGTTTTTTAAATTAATAAATTTATATGAAACAATAAATGACAAATGATTATTTATGTACAATTGTTGTTTTTCCCTCTCCCAATAACTCTTATTTCTAAGTTCCTATTATAGAATAAATCCAATGTAAAAATAATATTAGTTTCTAAATAAAGATGACCATTGAGGTGGAATAGCCCAGCCATGTTGATTTGCTACTCTAATATATGCGTCTATAGCTTCCTAAAATATTTTAAAAATATGTAAATGTGTGTGTAAGAAAACATTATATGCATTATATATAATAAATTACTTTTGGGCTGTATTCATTTTTCCAATTTTTGTCAAGTCTTGCAGGTGGATTCAAATCACTCAATGCTAATTTCGTTTGTAGTAAAACTGATTCTATAGTGAACTTGGGCGACCATCCCTTATCATGTTTATTGCCCAAAGTTAGAATCTCTATACAAATAGATCCTCCTGCTGTAACCTACATATAACATTATAAAGAGAAATATTATTATATCTTTTTTCTTTCCTAAAATTATATGATTTATTCTTCTTACATGACCACCCCCACCATTAAGAAATCTTAGTAATCTTGGTCTAATTACACGAATATATCTATAATAATAATGGTAAAAAACTATATTATTAAATCATTATTATATAAGTTGATGATAATAATAATTATAATGGAATTCTTACGGCGGCAAATTGGGAAATTCAGGGGCAAATCTAACTTCTAAATCAATACTAGAAACTTTATGCCTTGCCATATCTTGAGCTAATGGGATATTTGGATCAAAATCCTTGAGCTGTACAACCTAGAGTTTTGATAATAAACAAACATTTATTATTATTTATATAATATTATAAATTTTTGCTATATGTTTATATATTATAATGTCAACTAAGAATACAAACCCATTGGTAGACTGATCTTAATTTGTCAAGTTTAACATAAAAACCCAAGTCATTAGAAGGTTTACTCTGATTATTTATAATCATCTTTAGTTCTCGATATATTCGCTGTGTTGCTGTTTTAGTTGATTGCTCTAAAAATAAATTTTGTATATAATTAATTTATTTATTGAATGAATATTAATAAAATAATTATTATTATTTATCTGCACATACCAGGAAGTGGTAATAAAGAAGGATCAAAGTCATCTAACAAACAAGAGTGTAAATGCAAAGTGAATTTGAAAAACATGCTTATTGTGAAGAAAGAAATGCGTTACCATCACCATCTTCTATTTGAATAACTTTGTCATCATGTTCCGTTATTTTTGGAGGAGAGGCAGAATTATCATCACTAACATTACTACTACTACCACTACTGTTATTATTATTAGCATTGTTACGACTACGGCGATTGCTGTTGAACGTGAAAAAATGCGAGATCGATTTTGAAAATTTTGATCTTGGAGTCATTTTAATTTTTTATTTAAAGATAATGAATTTGATAAATGGTTACACTTCGATTTTTGTTTTTTTTTGCTATTATTATTATTATTATTATTATTATTATTATTATAAGTCGAGTGTATTAAATATTACTGACTTCTGATATCATTGTGCTCGCAGGCAGGGTTTAATATCAGGAACTCATCCTTCCTACTCGTCCAGGTTTTGGACTAGCTTTTTTTGACAGTAATAATATCTCCTACATCATATGATCATAATCATATGACTTGAAAGTATTTCAAAATATTTGTATTAAAATATTTGTAATCATTTCAAAAATATTTAAAATGAAATGATTTTAAAAAATTTTAAATATTACGGAGTAAACTTTTTTTAGGCGATCTATACCCTTTTAAAGAAATGCAACAATTGTTCCTGTTATAGGAAAAAATTCAAATTTTTGCTTAAAAGCCACCATATGCACTAATGTCCCAGGCTCGTAATTGGCTGCCAGACTTGACTGCGGCTCAACCCTCAAAAACCTCCGACTTCTAGGTATCAGGGAACATGTGGTAGATTTGTGATAATAATATTAAATCCAGCCTTTAAAAATATATTATAAATTTATAAATACATACAATGATTAGATCATTTCAATTAATAGTAATATTCTGAAATTTATTTATATTACCATCTTTTTGATGTAATATCTCATAATTTAAATAAAACGTTGTACAGATTCTTTTATATATAATAAAAATATTTTTATTATTTTATTTTTAATTCCCATCATTACAGTTTTGAAAAATAGTTTTTGTTCACACATGTGATGAAATGTAATATGTATTTTTGTACTTAACACACCATCAGGACAATACCTTTTTTAATCTTTAGATTTGCTTTTGCCACAACAATACAAATTGATTCTTTTATGTTCATTTTCTTACTGTTGCATAAATGGTGACATTGGCACTGGTGATATTGGTCTCTTTTTATTATTAATTAATACTATGTAAAAAATATAAATATCTTAGTGAAAACCTTAATAAAAAGCATATTTATCATTTTTATTCAGTGATGAAGTTTATCAAAATACAGTGAACCAAAAGGAACAGAAAAAACACCTGAGAGCAGGTAAACTAAATGATTATGATAAATGACTTTCTGCTTTTTCCAGTAAGATTTTAAGGATAAAAACACAGGAAATGCCAAAATTCCACAAGAAATATGAAATGAAGTCATTTATTGTTTATATAAACAATAAATGACTTAAATTAGACTATTATAGTCTCAGGTGTGTCATGATTCATTTTTTAGGACACACTCAAGGGTATTGTATTTTGCTTTTTTTGCCACACACCTGAGATGTTTATAGTCTACTTATTGGATGCTATATAGGTTATGTTTGTATTGTCACTTGAGAACCGCTGAGTCATGCATCAGTATGGTGTGAATTTTGGATTTTAGGCCTTGCTCAAATGATGTGAATTTTGCTTTTTATGACACACACCAAGGTGGCACATTCTATATATCTGGCCACATATAACATAATATATGCCAGTTTAGTGATTGTGGTTGATTCCTGTTATTAGGCTACATAAACAAAAAAAAAATACCTGAAGATGCATTCAGTCATGTGTCATCATTTGCAGGCCTGATGTGAGGGCTATGCCCGAACTTGGCACATAGTGCCCTAGCTTTCTGGTTAATTCCTCTATAAGGGCCAGAGTTGAGGCACATAGTGCCGAAATAGTATTCATGATCTTTTACATAATGCACTCAAATACCAATTAAGGATGAGGCACAGTGCTGAATTGCTAACTGTTATAATGCACTCAAATATCGCCCGATAATGAGGCATGCAGTGCTGAATTGTTATCCTTACCTGGTAACCCACCAAAGCATAATTTTATAATATATATATATCTGTAATAATTTTACTTTGGTATCCCTACTGATTTTTATAAAATATTATCTCTACTTGGTAACCCACCAAAGCATAATTTTATAATATATATATCTGTAATAATTTTACTTTAGTGACCTACTTTTTTTTACCTCTAATTGGTATCTCATCAAGGCTCAATTTTTTATATATCTATATTAATTATACCTTAATGCCTCTGATTTTTCTTCCAAATTATATAACTAATCATATTCTATTACTCACTAAATCTTGGCTCACTTCACTAAGACTTTGATGTCCTATTTTTTTAGAGTACTTTAATATCCTACAAATTATGGCATTCGATACTTTGATGTCCTACTGAATTATAATATCTAATACTTTGACATCTTGTCAAATTATGACTAAGGTTTCTGGTCAAACTGCTTCTATTAGTAGCTTAAATTGTCCAAATACTTTGGGCAAAAATTATTTTTTATAAGCCCAAACTAATTTTTGCTATTAGCCGAAATTGGGCGAAATTATTTTAAAGTTGTTTAAGTTAAAGCAAGTTGATTCATATAGTTTTTTTTTTAATGTTCATGCTTATAGAAAATATTGAGAAGCCCAAATTGCCCAAACTAGTTTGGGCTTTGAGAAAACAGTTTGGACCAGAAACCTTAATTATGACATCTGATACTTTGATGCCCTACTTTTTTTAGAGTACTTTATACTTCATAAAGCATCTCTTGAAATATATTATATGTCAACTGCACCTCAATCAAAATTGTGCAACACAAAAATCCCTTTATATGTTCTATATATCAAGGTATTAATTTTTGATTTGAATTTTTCTGCATATGTATTGTAAGAGATGACAAAACCCCTTTATCTGGATATATAACTAGTTGAATGTAGCAATCTCTCTCCTTCAGAAATTACTACTAAACTAGATGATATTGTCTTATTACCTTATGCCTGCTTTATTGAAAGATTTATAACAATTATGCATATTCAATAATTGCTAAAGATTTATTTTTCAGTTCTTTTTTGTGCAGAGTAGTAGGTACACCCATCTTAGTCTCATATATTCTAAGAAATCGGCCTCATTCATACTCTTGTGTTCTTTTTTCCAATGATTTTGATTATCTCTGTAACAAATTACTCCGAAGTCATGTGTAACATCAGGGTGGTACATAAATATTTACATTAGAAATGTGACACATTTATTATTATTATTTGTATTTCGTGTCTTTAATTATATTTATTATTATTATCTATGTCCACAAAATCTTCCGGATAGATTGATAAGAATCTTATGATTATTATTATTTATATTTTATTTATATTTTATCAATCTTATATTATTATTTATATTTTATCAATCTATGTAATTTTATATATAAAGGACATCATATTAAGATAATAAAGATTAACTTTGTAATTTTACAATAATTAAATTACTTATTTCGCTTTTAAACATTGAATGTTTACAATCTCACATTTCAAAAGCAATTTTGAATCTCCACTGTTCTAGCTTTTCTTGGGACATTTTCAAATTTTGCTGTAAATGAAAGATAAGTATATCTATATCAGATTCGTTTTTAATGAGAAACTCTGAAGATAGAGAAATTAAGGATTCAGGTATTTTTTTCTTAGCTTCAATAATACTTGGAAATCATTTGATTGATCTTGAGTTAATATTATAGATGATAATTGTGGTAAATTGGTTATGGATTTCTCAGCCGAAGACTGACTCATGCCAACAATATTATTACAAGAACTCTCTTCACAAACCTCATTACTGGATGATGTAGAACATCAAAGCTTTGATTCTTCTGAAATGGCAATATTGGTAGTAACAGGTATTGTGTCAAAAAGTTCTTGAATTTCATCAATTGATTCAGGTTTATACAGTGGAAGAACTGGATCCATAGGGTGATAATTAGGAGCATTCAACTTTATAGCCATTATTCTTTCTTGAGTTTCAAAACCAGCTCCATTATCTTTTCATGCACACATTGCTTTTTACTCTCAGGTTCATCACATGCCATTATCCTATCTTTTAACAATCCAATAATTATCCCAATAATTTGTTTTATACTATCCAGCAAACTTTCTTGCCCCCCCTTTAGTGCATTTTTTGAGATGTCTATCAGGTAATCTGTTTTACTTGTACAATATAACACGAACATAATGAAATGCAATTCCGTAGCAGTGGAAATGATACCATAAAGAAAATCATATCCATTATTATTAAATGCTTGATCTGCCATTCGTTTTTTGTTTTCGTGGAAGGAGCACTCAAGTTGCTTTATATTCTAAAAATACAAGCATTATTAGTATAACCAACAAGATAAATGATTGGACATTTTAGCAAAGCAGTGATACCTGAAGATACCCTATTTTTATATTGTGGTTTCCCTTCAGTGATACATAAGAGATCTTCCATCTCACTAATAGCATAATCCACTTGACATGTTGCCTCTTCACCAGAAATATCCAACTGATACAAGATATCTATTTCTTTATTGGTATCCCTTCTTGCAATGGCAATTGATGCATGTAATATAGATTCAATGAAAGTACACTGGGTTGCCTCATTGGCATCTATCATTGATTTTATCTGTGAGACGTAATGTAATTTCTGCAATACATTGTTTGAGGGCCTCATCATTATCATCAATTTTTTCAAAAACTATAGCAGAGCAGTTACCAGATGGTAACAAGAAACATTAGTCATATTGATAAAAACTAAAGAAAAAATAAGTCTCATGTAACCATTTCTAACAAAAAAACTTAGCAACAAGCAAAACTTATGTCCTAAATGCCCATCAATGGATGATCTGGAAAAAGAAGGATATTATATCTCACCTGGTATCTCACTTAATGAAGCTCTCAAAAAGAAAAGGAAGAAAGAGGAAGATAACGTCCATGAAAATAAGCCTAAAAAGATCTCAAAACCACAAGCCATGATTCAAGAGTTATCAGTCATACCAATTTCCAATGAACCATCAATCACTGCACCTTCTGAAGATTCCAACATGGAAAAGGTATCCAATAAATTTTACCACCTATATTATGAAGTTGATAATGTTGAAAAGAGCAGGAATCAAACAAACGGAATGTTATTCATCTTTATTTTCAGTTCGGGAAAGCTCTATCAGAATGACTCATTGAATTATTAAAGAGTAAGTCCCCACAGATGTCATATACAGAATTCAACAGTGAAGTTAGAGAACATCTTCTGAAAAATCTCAATAATGCTATGGTACGAAAGAGAACAGACACTGCTAGAAAAATTTATGATGTGTTTAGCAAACTTGGAGAAAATAAAATTCAGCAGGTTAAATCATTTACTGCATCTAACTTTTCTGATTTAACTAGAAGTGAGGTCAAATGTATCATCGAAAACTTCCCCTCTAATGATTAGTAGTTCTATCCAGTGTCTGAAATTCAGTGCGGGGGTTTGTGTTACATTAAAGATACCCAATAATCTTTTAGCAGGATTTGTGCAGAAAAGTTTCATGTAACTGAATTTAAATAAAGTAAAATAAAATACTTTTATTATTTTTGGTTAACAATAAATAAATAAACGTTGGGAATTTAATTCTATTTTTTTTAAAATAAAAATAAACAAAATACTATTGTTATTTCAATTTTTGTTAACAATAAATCATTAATGTTTTTGGGTTTAATTATATTTTAAAAAGTAAATAAAAATAAATAAAATGGTTTTATTTTTCTATTTTTAACAATAAATATTGATGTTTAATTCTTATTTTTTCTTTATCATCCTAAAATAATTAATTCATTTTTATTAACAATATAATTGATTCTGTTAAAGTAGTATAAATACAAGATGTTTTTGAAAGCTTAGTATTTCAAATAAATTAAAAAAGAACAAATTTTATTACAATTGATTCATTTAAAAATGTTTAATCAATCAACACATCATAGACAACATGTTAACAGAGATTTTTTTCATGATTACACATGGTTAAAATGTGAAGAAAATGAAAATATAGTCCTTTTTTTTGTAAACTTTGCAGAAGTAGAAATGGAAGTACAAAATTTGCAATAGGTACAACAGATTTAAGCCTAGAAGGAATTAAAAGACATTTAAAAACCAGTGAACATGAAGTGTCAGAATCACAACTTCGAAATGAATTAAATAAAAAAAAATTAACAATTATTTCATTAATTAGAAATGTTTATTTCTATCTAAACAAAATCTTTCCTTAAATATTTATCCTGACCTATGTAAATTAACAACATTACAGTCTGAGAATAATAGTCAATTAGTAACTATTGAAAAAACTTATACTCTAAAACCTGCTGGTTTAGGAAGTACACCTACTCCTAATCAATATATGGAAGCTATACAAATCCTAATTCTGCTCATGATTTTTTGGATAGTATAGCTTCTGTAATAAAGAAATCACTCTTTGAGGAATTGAATTCCTCAATCTATTGGAGTATAATGATTGATGAAGCTAACAGCATTGACAATAGTAAATATTTAGCAATTGTGGGAAAATATATTGTTAATAACATTCCCTATATGAGATATTTGGGCATGATCAATCTAGAATCTACCACAGCAGAAAATATTTATAGTCAAATCTTATCATTTTGTACTTCAAATGAAATATCATATAACAAAATAATTTATTTTGGAAGTGATGGAGCTTCTAATATGAGAGGAAATCAAACTGGTGTTGCTACAAGATTAAAAGAAATCAATCCTTTTATGTCCTCAATTCATTGTATATCACATCGACTTCATTTAGCTGGAAAAGATGCTTCAGATGAAATAGAATATTTTCAAGAATATGAACAAATATTACGAAATTTATATTTGTATTTTTCTAAATCACATAAAAGGCAAGACTTACTGAAATTGATGCAGGAAATTAATGATGAGCCAACACTTAAAATATTGAAATTATGTGAGACTCGGTGGTTATCATTATCAAATTCTGTGCATAATTTACATCAAATTATGAATTCAGTACTTGCTGCTTTAAATGAAGATATGTTAGATGGAGATAAGCATGCAAATGTTTTACTTGGACAATTGGATCATAACTTTAGTACTGCAACAATTCTCAAAACCACAAGCCATGATTCAAGAGTTATCAGTCATACCAATTTCCAATGAACCATCAATCACTGCACCTTCTGAAGATTCCAACATGGAAAAGGTATCCAATAAATTTTACCACCTATATTATGAAGTTGATAATGTTGAAAAGAGCAGGAATCAAACAAACGGAATGTTATTCATCTTTATTTTCAGTTCGGGAAAGCTCTATCAGAATGACTCATTGAATTATTAAAGAGTAAGTCCCCACAGATGTCATATACAGAATTCAACAGTGAAGTTAGAGAACATCTTCTGAAAAATCTCAATAATGCTATGGTACGAAAGAGAACAGACACTGCTAGAAAAATTTATGATGTGTTTAGCAAACTTGGAGAAAATAAAATTCAGCAGGTTAAATCATTTACTGCATCTAACTTTTCTGATTTAACTAGAAGTGAGGTCAAATGTATCATCGAAAACTTCCCCTCTAATGATTAGTAGTTCTATCCAGTGTCTGAAATTCAGTGCGGGGGTTTGTGTTACATTAAAGATACCCAATAATCTCTTAGCAGGATTTGTGCAGAAAAATTTCGTGTAACTGAATTTAAATAAAGTAAAATAAAATACTTTTATTATTTTTGGTTAACAATAAATAAATAAACGTTGGGATTTAATTCTATTTTTTTTAAAATAAAAATAAACAAAATACTATTGTTATTTCAATTTTTGTTAACAATAAATCATTAATGTTTTTGGGTTTAATTATATTTTAAAAAGTAAATAAAAATAAATAAAATGGTTTTATTTTTCTATTTTTAACAATAAATATTGATGTTTAATTCTAATTTTTTCTTTATCATCCTAAAATAATTAATTCATTTTTATTAACAATATAATTGATTCTGTTAAAGTAGTATAAATACAAGATGTTTTTGAAAACTTAGTATTTCAAATAAATTAAAAAAAGAACAAGTTTTATTACAATTGATTCATTTAAAAATGTTTAATCAATCAACACATCATAGACAACATGTTAACAGAGATTTTTTTCATGATTACACATGGTTAAAATGTGAAGAAAATGAAAATATAGTCCTTTTTTTTTGTAAACTTTGCAGAAGTAGAAATGGAAGTACAAAATTTGCAATAGGTACAACAGATTTAAGCTTAGAAGGAATTAAAAGACATTTAAAAACCAGTGAACATGAAGTGTCAGAATCACAACTTCGAAATGAATTAAATAAAAAACAATTAACAATTATTTCATTAATTAGAAATGTTTATTTTCTATCTAAACAAAATCTTTCCTTAAATATTTATCCTGACCTATGTAAATTAACAACATTACAGTCTGAGAATAATAGTCAATTAGTAACTATTGAAAAAACTTATACTCTAAAACCTGCTGGTTTAGGAAGTACACCTACTCCTAAATCAATATATGGAAGCTATACAAATCCTAATTCTGCTCATGATTTTTTGGATAGTATAGCTTCTGTAATAAAGAAATCACTCTTTGAGGAATTGAATTCCTCAATCTATTGGAGTATAATGATTGATGAAGCTAACAGCATTGACAATAGTAAATATTTAGCAATTGTGGGAAAATATATTGTTAATAACATTCCCTATATGAGATATTTGGGCATGATCAATCTAGAATCTACCACTGCAGAAAATATTTATAGTCAAATCTTATCATTTTGTACTTCAAATGAAATATCATATAACAAAATAATTCATTTTGGAAGCGATGGAGCTTCTAATATGAGAGGAAATCAAACTGGTGTTGCTACAAGATTAAAAGAAATCACTATTAATGTTAAATACTAATATAATACTAATATTATGCTAATGCTAATGCTAATGCTAATAATGCTAACATTTGAATTAAATGTAAAAAAATTTGTCTCAGAATTATGTATGGAGGGATGGAGGAAAATGGAAATCCTTTTATGTCCTCAATTCATTGTATATCACATTGACTTCATTTAGCTGGAAAAGATGCTTCAGATGAAATAGAATATTTTCAAGAATATGAAAAAATATTATGAAATTTATATTTGTATTTTTCTAAATCACATAAAAGGCAAGACTTACTGAAATTGATGGAGGAAATTAATGATGAACCAACGCTTAAAGTATTGAAATTATGTGAGACTCGGTGGTTATCATTATCAAATTCTGTGCATAATTTACATCAAATTATGAATTCAGTACTTGCTGCTTTAAATGATGATATGTTAGATGGAGATAAGCATGCAAATGTTTTACTTGGACAATTGGATCATAACTTTATTACTGCAACAATGTTTCTCACTGATTTAAAAATATTCTGAAAAAATTAATAAAAATATTTCAATTAGATAATCTATCTTTATCACAATACAAACCAAGCATTGATGCTACAACTAAAGAGATTGATTCAAGAGTTATCAGTCATACCAATTTCCAATGAACCATCAATCACTGCACCTTCTGAAGATTCCAACATGGAAAAGGTATCCAATAAATTTTACCACCTATATTATGAAGTTGATAATGTTGAAAAGAGCAGGAATCAAACAAACGGAATGTTATTCATCTTTATTTTCAGTTCGGGAAAGCTCTATCAGAATGACTCATTGAATTATTAAAGAGTAAGTCCCCACAGATGTCATATACAGAATTCAACAGTGAAGTTAGAGAACATCTTCTGAAAAATCTCAATAATGCTATGGTACGAAAGAGAACAGACACTGCTAGAAAAATTTATGATGTGTTTAGCAAACTTGGAGAAAATAAAATTCAGCAGGTTAAATCATTTACTGCATCTAACTTTTCTGATTTAACTAGAAGTGAGGTCAAATGTATCATCGAAAACTTCCCCTCTAATGATTAGTAGTTCTATCCAGTGTCTGAAATTCAGTGCGGGGGTTTGTGTTACATTAAAGATACCCAATAATCTTTTAGCAGGATTTGTGCAGAAAAGTTTCATGTAACTGAATTTAAATAAAGTAAAATAAAATACTTTTATTATTTTTGGTTAACAATAAATAAATAAACGTTGGGAATTTAATTCTATTTTTTTTAAAATAAAAATAAACAAAATACTATTGTTATTTCAATTTTTGTTAACAATAAATCATTAATGTTTTTGGGTTTAATTATATTTTAAAAAGTAAATAAAAATAAATAAAATGGTATTATTTTTCTATTTTTAACAATAAATATTGATGTTTAATTCTAATTTTTTCTTTATCATCCTAAAATAATTAATTCA